TCTCTTTCCTGCCTATGCAGGGGGTCGGACTCGATGATCTATTGAGGTGCCTTCCGACCCTAACATCTATGAATCTATGAAAACTTGTGGCACTCCGGGGAGGTCCCCGAGGACTGGAAGAGGGCCAGTGTTGTGCCCATCTTCAAGAAGGGGAGGAGGGAAGACCCAGGTAACTATAGGCTAATTAACCTAACTTCTATACCAGGGAAAATCCTGGAAAAATTAATTAAGGAGCCTATGTGCGATAGGCTTGCTGGAGGTAGGATTCTGAATGACAGCTGGCATGGCTTCATCATGGGCAGGTCTTGTGTTACCAACCTCATCTCCTTTTACGATCGGGTGACTTGCCACCTGGATAGGAGAGAGGAGGTTGACATTATATACCTCAGCTTCCAAAAAGCTTTCGATGTGGTATCCCACGATGTTCTTGTGAGCAAATTGAAAGACTGTGGGCTTAATTGCGAGACTGTCAGGTGGTTAGGAAGCTGGCTGTGGGTTAGGACCTAGAGAGTTCTAACAAACAGATCTGTGCCATCTTGGCGGGAAGTGGCCAGCGGTGTCGCGCAGGAGTCGGTGGTTGGCCCAGTTCTATTCAACATCTTCATCAATGATTTGAATGTTGGGGTGAAGAGCTCACTGGTCATGTTCGCGGATGACACCAAGTTATGGGGGAGCGTGGTCACTCTTTAGGATAGGCTACAGATACAGGTGGACCTAGACAGGCTTGCAAGTTGGGCAGACCAGAACCAGATGAAGTTCAACGTCGAGAAATGTAAAGTGTTCCAGGTGGGGACGAACAATCCTGTACACACTTACAGGGCTGGCAATACTAACCTGACCTGCACTACGAATGAAAGGGACCTGGGGATAATAATTGACCACAGTATGACCATGAGCCGTCAGTGTGACACTGTAGCCAGCAGGGCCAACAATACCCTGGCATGCAGCTTACTGGTACATCAGAGACGTACATCAAGGGCTCGGTGAACAACTGTTCACCAGGGCACCCTTGGGGAAAACTAGGAGTAATGGTCACAAACTCCTGGAAGACCGTTTTAGGCTCAACATTAGGAAAAACTACTTCACAACTAGGGTGTCCAGATTGTGGAATAAGCTCCCTCCAGAGTTGGTGCAGTTGCCTACCCTGGAAATCTTCTAGAGGAGACTGGACGGGCACCTTCCTAGAGTCACCTGATCCCAGTTGTCTTTTCTGCTTTGTGCAGGGGGCTGGACCTGATGATCTTCCAAGGTCCCTTCCAGCCTTACAATATATGAATCTATGTGCATGTACACTTTCACACAGCTCTGTGCTGTTGCCAGTGGTGCCCGCCTGCCGGTGCCTGTCCCTCTAGTGGAGATGGGCAGCTGCATGGTCAGGCTGGCGGCTCTGGAGGCAGGTCGGTTGGAAGACATTGCCAGGGAGGGTGCCATGGCCAGGTCATCTGGCTCAGTGTGGGGGGTGCACAGGTGTTCTCTCTCCTTCCAATCCTCACTGGGGCCGGACTGGCTCCACTGATGCCTGCATGAGCTGGAGCTGCCACCACGCTCTGGCTCAGGCGGGATGGGACCTGGAGCCTCTCGCCCTCCTTCTGTTGCCTGCAGCATGGCAAGCCAGAGCTGTGCTTTGCTTCATGCTGCTGCTGTGGAGCATGGTTCTGGTCCTCCCTGCCATGCATCAGCACCAGCCCCAACCCCAACCCCAGCCAGTGGCATTGGGGTAGTGTGTGGTGCCCTAGTTGCTGCTGCTTGTAGTTTACCACAGGGTGTGCTTGCTTGTACCCAGTGCTGGGGGCCATCTGTGCAGGCCACTGTCTTGTAGTTCACAGGGGGCTTGGCAGGGTGGGGGTAGTTAAGACAGGGCTGGAGGGGGCAGGGGACTGCGGGTTGGAAGTGAGGGCCACCAGCAGGGTGGTGGGGGGCTGCGGTTTGGGAGTGAAGGGCACTGGCAGGGTCAGGGGGCTGTGTGGCATGGCAGCTGGACATGTCTTGGTGAGGGAAGGGCAGGGGGAACTCTGGTTTTCCATGGTAAACCAAAGTCAAATGCCAAAATATATAGGTATTTAGAATTTATTTTATTATAATGATTGAGGTACTGGTAGGCTGCCAAATTGCTTTAAAATTGTAAATATATCAGTAAAACCTTGTGTTCAACTGATACCCATTATATATAGTGTTTTTTCAGTTTAATTGTGGAAAACCTTGGATTTCTGTTTTTTTTTTAACCAGGGAATTTAGGATTTTTTATCAGATAATTTGCAGTTTTTAAACCAAGAAAACCAGGATCCCTGCTAATGACAGAAATCAACACATTTTAACCTAAGGCCATCCCTCATTTTAGCTCTTTTCTCAGTTGTTCTAAAAATGATTCCGTCTTCCAGAGAGTAAAGAAATAATAATGGTGGGAGGGCATGGGGAAAAGGGGGGTCCTCGATTGGCAAGGGGCCACACAGATCCTTTGCATGGTATGGAAACTGGATGAGAGGTGCACAGACAGGAATCTGTTAAATGTGATATCCCTCATCCTTCCCTCTGGAAAATAACTAAGATTGCTAAGCTTTTTGCATGCTTCAGTTGTTGTCTCAACTTTGTGTGGGATGTTACTTTGCTGCTGCCAAATTTGATTGTGGCAGATGTCAAGGTTCTTCCAATTCTGATTTAATTTCACCCCTTCTATTTTTTTATAGTTGCCAGTTGAATGTGTTTTCCAGCATATAGCTTGGTTAATAATTCTTGTAAAAATGTTAAGTGGGAAAAACTTTGTAATTTTGTTCTTTTTTAATAGTCCCTCTGCTATGTGACCGACTTATGTGATTCTGTTTTCTGTAAATTGTAATAATCTTAGAATGGGTAGTTTAACTAAGCTATCAGAATTCTTGTTTTCCTGAGCTAATCAGTAATGTTTCATTGTTCCATTATAATTAACCATACTTTTCTAGTCATTGGGGCTTCACTTTTTCAGTATCAAAGTACCATCTGTAAAAATAATCTGCTTTTATTAAAAGTCTTGCTGTGTGTTTCTCTTTTGTTATAGATCCCTTGTAGTTGTCCATTTTTGGGCACCATGGGCCCCTCAGTGCATCCAGATGAACAACGTCATGGCTGAACTAGCCAAGGAACATGTGCAAGTTACCTTTGTGAAGGTAAGACATTATGACCAGTTAGTAAAGGCTATTTTGAAGGTATCAAAGACCACCTAAAGGAAACAACTCCAAAGCTTGCAGAAACAGTTATTTTTGCAATAGCTTCTGGGGTCTAGAAATAAGAAATACTTATACTGCCTTGAATCCTAAGGTTACTACAGCTTAAAAGTCTTGTCAAAATACTTTGGGTGAAGTTTTTGTTCTCAATCACTCTAGAAAGCTTGATATTGCAGGTTAAAATAACAAATGATATTTTCCTGCTTTTTGTTAACTGTAATATCCCCTCTCTGTGTTGATTCATTTAGCAAAAAGGATTTTAGGTTTGTCCACAAATTGATGCAACTTGGATGACTCAACCCTCAAGTACTGTAACTAGCTGTATCGTTCAGGCCTGATCTTTATATCCCAGGGATTTGAAATTAAAATGCCAGTGCTGCTCTTTTAAGGTTTGCTAGAGCTTTCATTCATTTCAGCAGTGTTGCTGGTTGGGCAAGATGATCTTCTCAGGATTCGTTTAGATGCATTAGTTGCTTTCCTATCTGTTATTAAGGATGAACAATAATCTTCACTGAGTTTACAGAAAGATAAATTTAAATCTTTGTGATATGTCATTCTAGTATGCTATACTGAGGAGCAGTAAGCAAATGAGATGCAGTATTTCTGTGCAATCATCTTCATATCCCAGTAAGGGAACAAATATGGAAAAAAAAGCACTAGATCTACATGGTGTTCATTTTAAAACAACTTTCTCTCATTAATGAGACACTTTTGTGATTATGAGGGCAGGGACTAATGGAATAACCAGCTGTGTGTATGTGCTTTAATTTGATTTCTTACAGCCTTTATGTTTTTTGGGTTTTTTAATGATTCATCTCACAGTTTGGCCTTTGCTTTTGTAAAGCAGAGAGATGGATCTGTTTTTAATTGTATTAATTTACAAAACCTGTTTAATTAGACTATCTTGAAAGACTGTTTGCTTTTCAAAATGTTGAAAATGTTTCTTGTTGCCTATGTAGTACTGCTGTTCTAGTCTATAGTAGGCCAAAAAATCTCCAATCCAAATGGCTTAGTTATTGTGCAGACTTGACTGAAATATATATATTTTTAATGTTATGTTTCTGTTTACTGGACAGTATACTGCAGAATAAAATTCTAGCACCTGGCCTGTAAATGCATCCCAATTATGATACAAAAGCACCAGAGCATTCTGCCAAAGCGATAAAGTATCAACAGCTTTGAATAAGTCTTTTACTTCAATTTTTGGGTTCCTTCATGGGAATAAATAGAGTATTTTCATAGCTAAAATGATAGAACTTTGATCCATATTCAGGAATAGCTAAGTCTGGGGATCCAGTTATCCCTGGTAGCAATTTGACAAATCTACCAGCTATTTCAGGTAGCTAGTTACAAAATAACATTTCTGAATTGTACATTGTCATAACGGTTTTAAAATCTATTTGTCATCGAATGGAAACCCTGTGTAAATTCAAAATGTAATAATCGTGAAGAGTCTTTTAAAATATGATTTTGAAAGAATAAACTACCTGCAGCATTTTAGTGTAGTCTTAGGCTAGTAATGCTAAGGTGATAATCTTACTTTTAACCAAAGAAGTTTAAAAATAACTTTTATAAAATGAAACATGCCATGTCTGAAGGAACTTCAAAGTGGAATGAAATGTACAGGTAGTTAGGAAATAATCTGGCAGAATTAAAAACAAACAACCCCTCCCCCCAGTATCTTTCCTGTAACAATCTTTTAGGCGCTTGAAAGAGAATTGATAAATAAAAGTATATTGACAGTGTTTGATTCTCAGTTGACTCTGATAGATCGTTGTGGTATGGGACTTGGGATAGACTCAGAATTCATGGTCATATTTTGGTGCTCCTGGGCTAAATATGAAGTGTCCCAGATAAGGGAAATGGCAGCTTTATAGTTGGAACAAACCAAAGCCTATTTTTTCCAATGATACTTAAAGGTCCAAATTTTTACTGCATCAGAAGCTGTAAATGAAGAGAACAAAGAAGGCTGGCATTACTTGAAAATTTCTAATATTTGGGTGGGAGCCTTCCTTGGCTTCCACATGCTTGTTGTAAACTGTACAGTTTGCAGACAGATGAGTTTGAAAAGTTTCATGTATCTGTAAATGTACAATGATCAAGCATCTTTGTTTTCTCTTAGTTTGATCCTAATACTGTTATCCCTTTGTTTTTATCCTTATACCACTCTAGTGTTGGTGTTATTGAAAAATATCCTAAAACAGTAACTTCCCTCACTAAAGTCAGCTTCTATGACTTGAATCTCTGTTCTGGGCATTGATGAATAGACGTGCTTATTTTCATGGTAAATAATCACTTCAGAATTTCAAAATACAGTTTTGAAGGAAGAATAGGTTACAGGACTGATAGTCTAACAAGCTTTCTACTTAGTAGCCAGCAGCCTTGCAGGAGTTAAAAGTAAAATTTAGTAGACATCAATAGTTTATTGAAGAAATACTCCTTTTTGCTTCATAATTTGCAGAAGGCTGCAAATGTCAGTCATGATGTACTGCCTCTCGAAATTAGTCAATAGAGCAAACAGCAAGAATTGCTGTGGGCAGAAAATAAGCACTGTAATCATGACATAACTGGGGTCAATGATTTATGGATTTCAATATAGTAGTAGCTGCATATGATTGAAAATTTACTAGGTCACTAGTGCACCAAAAATTTTATTCACAGCCTCCAGGCATCTTTTGAAATGTGCAACAAAATAAAAACCTATGAACCTGTTTTGACACTGTGCAGGCTCAGTGGATGACATGCCAGCCCAGTGAGTCTCATTTAAATGCAAATGTGTCACAAACTTTTGCATCAAACTCCTTTTTAAAACACACAAAATGCCTAGAAGAATGTTATAGACAGGATTGACATGCACAATCAAACTTGAAAGAAGATTATGAAAATAAAACCATGTTTTCTCTGACTTCTTAAGCTGGAAGCTGAAGCTGTGCCTGAAGTATCTGAAAAATATGAAATTAGTTCTGTTCCAACGTTCTTGTTTTTTAAGGTAAGAGAAAATGGATTGCATATTATTTGCATGAAAGTGCCTGAGTACAGAAGAGTAGTTCTTGTAATTATCTTTCTACTGTTTTCAATATGAGACAACAGAAGCCAATCTTACTAACATTAATTCAGTATCTTTTTTACTGATAGATTTAAAATGGTCAGCCTATGGAAGTGATACTGAAATCAATGGTTTAATATTTTAGAATCCCCTTTAAATGTCTTGGGATTTATAGAAAGCTTTTATTATACCTGAGAAGTAAGAGTGTAGTTGGTATTGGGTCAAATATGGTTAATGATTCAGCCATGGTTCATTGTAATGCTAGATAATTCAGATGAAACAAGCAAGTAATGATCTTGAGGAAATGACAAGTGTTTGTTTTCTAGAATTCTTCAGAATCTTTTTGCAAATTTTTTTTTTTTTTTTTAAACCAAGTGACTGAACTTTTGCCCAGTACAGGCAGTGTACCGTGGCCAAAATGTGTTTAGTTTGTGAGATGTTCATATTAAAGACCAGCAGGATGGTCAATGAACTAAGCCACCTTATCTGTTATATATAGATACTTTAGTAAATTGTTTTTAGTAGTTCAAAAGACAGTGTGTGAAGCTAATGCTTTTGAGCTATTTTCTTGGCTTCTTTAGAATTTGCAGAAAATTGACAGGTTAGATGGTGCCCATGCCCCAGAGCTGACCAAAAAAGTCCAGCGCCATGCATCCAGCAGTTCTGTTACCATTGGATCTAATGATAACGTGAAAGAGGATCTTAATGTGCGTCTAAAGAAATTGATCAATGCTGCACCGTGCATGCTGTTTATGAAAGGATCTCCACAAGAGCCTCGCTGTGGTAAGAACTTTGCTTAATATAGCAGGTCTTGCTTAATGTATTGGGCTTCTTCTACATTTATTTAGAGCGATTTTGTGGTATACATCTTTACAAAAGTATCTGTTTAAGCACTTTAAATAAAATTATTTTCATAACACATGTATAAGGTTGGATGTTCCCTGTCTGTATATGAGAATACTAATGGAGGCACAGAGAAAGATTTAAACGACTTATTCAAGAAGACTTATTGTTAGAGCTTAGAATGCTCTGATTTCCCGAGTGCCTAAGATAAGACTGTTCTCCTGTTTTTCAATTATGCATCACAAACTTAAAATGACTTCCAAGGCAGAAGGGGAACAGACTTGCTGGAAGACTTGAACATTGTCTTGAAAAAGTATGCCTTGACACATACTTCGGGATATTAAGAGGTGTCCAATGAAACCTCCCATTGCCATTCATCAGTATAACAGTGATGCTAGAGTCTGTATCATGTCATCTTTAAAAAGCAAGAGATGGATGTACTACTTAGAGATCTATGAGTAGACCAAACCATGCCTTAGTGGACATCATCATGGGGTATCCCTAAACTTGGAGGACACAACTTAACATAAGTTTTGTCTGATACTGTACCTTGTAAAAATGTGTAGGGATGGCTACTTGGTTCTGGGATCTTTAGGGTGCATTTTTCTAATAACCTTTGTTCACCTCTTGCGTATAAGTTCCTTGTTCAAAATGGTATCTGCATTTCTACTTACAACATTTTTAGACCTTCTTCTTGTTACAAATACAACAGCTGCTTTGTCTGTCCTGCCTTTCCTTATCCATGTTTGTATGTGTGTCCTAACCAATATACTCTGTGCTTCAGGCATGTCCTGTCAAGCCAGCTTGACAAATTGGTAGTTTTAAGTCAAGGTTTATTTTGGTAGGTGAAGAAATGATCAGGGCTTTTTCTCTTATCTTATTCCCACTTTTGTTAATGTAATTAGTTTGTACATAAATGTGAGGCGTTCAGGTATGTTGGAAGAGTTAAAGTGTATGCGTGCTTCAGACAAATTGGAAGGCACTGCATGGATTTCAGCTGCCCCTTAAGCAATTGTAAAAATGTTTTTCAGCACACTTCTTGCTGATCTGCACATGTTAAACAGAATATATGACTAGACAGTTCTCATCACTGCCCATATACCTTGTGTTTCTCTTCTATTCCAGCACCATTTTGGCAACCAGCAGCACAACAATTTTCCAAGGCTGTCCATTATCTTTTTTGGAATAGAATCATTCTCTGCTTTTTTGGGGTATGTCTTAGCTTGGAGTGGTCCACATTTGATTGCTAGCTTGCTTCTGCTGGGTTTCCTACTTGTCATCACTTATTCCATTGGCAGCAGCAGAAGTGCACATTCATCTACTGTCTTAACTTGGCATTTTTGAGATAAAAGTAAGGTGGACTGCAGGCTGTTACCTCTTCGGTATGAAAAAACAACCCCTCCCCCCCATGCAACACAGGCCCACAGGTCTAACAAGTAGGGAAGAGCATGAAAACATCTTGCCATCTCCAGGCGAAGTTAAAACACTGGAATAGCCCAAGGGAATGGAATTCTAAGATTGGAGGCAGTGATGTTTTATCACTGTTGCCATGGCAACAAGACACTGCAATTTTCCTAATAAAATCAGTCCTTTAACTCTTTTTCTCATAGTTTACACCTTGCTTATACTTACCTGTGATGAAGGACAAGGGTCTTAGCTTTAGCTTTAAGTGAAAGTTTACTTAAATTGTGTAAGAGGCCGATAATGTTGAGATGTGACAAGCATAAAGAATCTTTATGCACATCTCGGGGATAAAAAGCTTGAGGTCAGGGTTCCTGAAGCCTGTTATCGAACACAAAATAAGTTGTAGTTACTGCTGTTTATTGAACTCATTCTTTCCATCCATGCTTTTGGGGCAGATGGGTCATGAAGATACCCATCCTCATTGCAACTTTGTATTAACTTTCTTATAATTCAAGCATTTGCAGATTTAAAAACCTCCATGTAGAGTATGATAGAAACTTTGTATTGTGGTATCAACACGTGTGGTAGTATTGATTAAGGTTTTTATAAAAGCACAGAATTTTTATTTGGCTTCCTAGGCCTTGTTCAGACGAGCAAACACGTTCCTATTGTGGTGTCTCAAAGCAGTTTGAGATGCTGCAAGAGGCACGCTGGGAACAGAAAAATGTTGGGCTCTAATTTTAATACTGGGAAATCCTGGTATCAAATAAACATGTTGGGAAAATGCCAGGTAGGAGATTAGCTCCAGGTAGGAGAGGCCGCAACCAGAGGCTGGGTCTTCCAAAGAGATGCACTAGCACCTGGCTGTACCATCTCTATGCCTGACCCCTTCCCCTGCTTCTCCAGCAGGCTGAGCATGCTGTCTCAGTGTGCTGGTGCAAATAGGAGCGGGCAAGGCTGCGGCAGTGGCTCAGACCCAGGTGCCATCCCACATAAGTAGGGATAAGTGCATGAGGGGGGGACTGTTCAGGAGGAGTGGGTCCCTCACCTGCCCCCCCCTGCACAGCCCACAGCGCCCTTGTTCCCCCCCTTCCCACCCCTCCCCGGAGCAGCAGCAGTTGGGAGCACTCATGTCCTCTCCTGGCAGAGACCCCTAGTGGTGTGGGGCCACGTCAGACTGGCAGCTGCACACGGCGCTGGCCTGGCCTGGCTCGCATGCCCTTGGACAGAACCGAGCCAACTCCTGCTGTCACCCATGGCTTCTGACACCACAGGCAGAAGCTGTGTGCCCATGGACCTGGCTGGGTGCTGTCTGCATGCAGCTGGCTCAGCCTGATGGTGTACGGCCCCGCATGGAGGCCAGGACCTGACTTGGCCTGAGGGCTTGCAGCTTCTGTTTGCAGTGCTGAGAACTGCGGATGACAGGAGCTGTCCCGGTTTTGTCTGAGGGCATGCGGGCTGGGCTGTTGCCATGTGCAGCTGCTGGCCTGAGGCAGCCCCACGCTGCTGGGGGTTGTAGGCGTGAGCGCCCTGATGGCTGCTGCTGCTGTGAGGGGGGG